GCTGTAAACATCCATTAAGAATCTGAGCATGGAATGTATGAAATATGAATCTAGGAAAATTGGAAATTGTGAAAAATGAATTGGAACGCATAAATGTTGATATCCTAGGCATTAGTGAGCTGAAATGGACTGGCACTGGCCATTTTGAATCTGACAAGCTCATGGTTTACTATGCCAGGAATGACAAATTGAAGAGGAACGGTGTTGGATTGTCAAAAAGAACATATCCAGATCAGTCATGAGGTACAATGCTGGCTGTGATAATATTCATGCGCCTACAGGGAAAACCAGTTAATAACACAATCATTCAAATTTCCGCACCAACCACTAAAGTCAGTGAGGATGAAATAGAATTCTACCAACTTCTTCAATCTGAAATTGATTAAACATGCAATCAAGATGTAAATTATTGAATGATGCAGAAAGCATCAAAAGAAGATGGAAGGAATACACAGAGTCACTGTACCAAAAGGAAATGGTTAATGTTCAACAGTTTCAAGAGGCAGCATATGAACAAGGGGCAATGATACTGAAAGAAGTCCAAGGTGCATTGAAGGAATTGGCAAAGAACAAGGCACCAGGAAATGATGCAATAAAAATTGAAATCTTTCAAGAAATTGAGGTGGCACAGGAGGCACTCACTCATCTATGGCAAGAAATTTGGAAGACAACGATATTGCCAACAGATCGGAAGTGATTGGTATTTGTGCCCATTCCAAAGAGAGGTGACCCAACAGAATGTGGAAATCATTGGACATTATCTTTGATATGCCATGTGAGTAAAGTTTTACTAAAGGTAATACAGAAACGGCTGTAAGCATACATTGACAGAGAACTTCCAGAGGTTCAAGCCTGATTCAGAAGAGGCCGTGGAATGAGGGATATCATTGCAGATGTCTGATGGATCTTGGCTGAAAGCAAAGAATATAATAAAGATGTGTACCTGTGCTTTATTGACTACACAAAGGGTTTCGATTGTGTGGATCATGACAAGCTATGGACAACATTGCAAAGTATGGGTATGCCAGAACACTTAATTGTGCTCCTAAGGAATCTGTACATGGACCAAGAGGCAGTTGTTCAAACAGAACATGGGAACACTGAACAGTTTAAAATTAAGAAAGGTGTGCGATATGGATGTATTCTTTCACCATACTTATTCGACCTGTATGCTGAGCAAATCATCTAAGAAGCTGGGTTATAAGAAGAAAAACGTGGCATCAGGATTGGAGGATGACTCATTAACAACCTGCGATATGTAGATGATACAACCTTGCTTGCTGAAAGTGAAGAGGACTTAAAATATTTACTGATGAAGATCAAACAGCACAGCCTGTTGGTATGGATTGCATCTTAATGTCAAGAAAATAAAAATCCTCACCACTGGATCAATAAACAACATTCTTAGCAATGGGGAAACAATTCAAGTTGTCAAGGACTTCATTCTTCTTGGATCAACTATCAACACTCACAGAAGCAGCAGTCAAGAAGTCAAATGACGTATTGCATTAGGCAAACCTGTTGCACAAGACCTTTTTAAAGTGTTGAGGAGCAAAGATGTCAGCTTGAGGACTAAGGTGCGCCTGACCCAAGCCATGGTATTTTTAATAACCTCATATGGTTGTGAAAGCTGTACAGTGAATAAAAAAGACCGTATAAGAATTGAAGCTTTTGAGTTATGATGTTGGAGGAGAATATTGAAAATGCCATGGGTTGCCAAAAGAACCAACAGATCTATGTTGGAAGAAGTACAGCCAGAGTGCTCTTTGGAAGCCACAATGGACAAACTTAGTCTCTCATACTTCAGACATATTGTCAGGAGGG